GAAGCTGTGGCTGCCCCATCCCTGGCAGTGTTGAAGGGCAGGTTGGATGGGGCTTGGAGCAGCCTGGTCTGGTGGGAGGTGTCCCTGGCAGTGCAGGGGGTTGGAACTAGATGATTTTTAAGGTCCCTTCCAACCCAAACCATTCCATGAGTCTATGATTTCAGCCTCCCAGCTCTCCAGGGAACCTCTCCCAGGTTTTTCCTGCACCCCAGGCTGCTCCTGCCCATGCCCAGGCTGCAGCAGCTCAGGGGAACGACTCCCCACTGAATGCAGCTTTGCTTTCCACAGTGGCCAGCAGAATTGGTGCTTGAGTTCCCTGCCACCCTCAGAGAAGGAATGGCAGGCCAGAAAATGCCCTCCAGCAGGTCAGTGATGCCCAAGTCAGCCAGAGATAAAACTGTGGTCATTCAGGGCAGAAAAATCCACTTTGCAGTGGAAGAGCTGGAAGCTCATGTTTGTGCTTCAAACCAGGGCCTGTGCTTGCCAAAAGCCTCATCCACATGCAGGGGAGCCCAGTTTGAGCCTGAATTTGATGGGGAAGTAAAGCTTTTCCAGTTAACCAAATTCCCAGGTTAGGACCAGGAAGACAAAGGCTTTTTTTGGTGTTGTTCTTTTGCCTTCTTGCCCATCCCTACAGCAACAGGTCCACCTGGGGAGCTGCTGGTGAAATGCCCTGCAGTTCACACATGCTTTTTTATTTGGGGGTGGGTGGGGGAGGTCCCTTGCAGCCCCCTTGGGGGTCTCTCAGCCCTGGGCAGCACCATCAGTTGGAGTGCCCACCCTGCAAAGGGTGCAGCTGCTCCTGCCCCGTGGGCTTCAAAGCCTGTTGTGTCACCATGAGGAGCTCTAATTATAAGGGAGGCCTGGGAGCTGGTTGAGGCTTCCAGCTGGTGCCTTGAGCCAGGAAAACCAACACAGAGGAGGGAAAACAAAACAAAACAAAAAAAAAAAAAGCAGAAAGGAAAAAAACCCAAAAACCTAAAGACAAGAAGCTGTGCAGTTTCCCAGTGCCAACACAGTAGCTTCTGGGGACAGAGTGACACCAGCAGGGTGGGGGACACAGTGGCCACGGGTGGGCTGGGAGGGCTGCAATGCAAGGGGTGGGATGTAGGGGACAGGGACAGCTTATCTTCCCACTGCCCCATCCCATCCTGAGCTGCCCTGCCCTGGGGAGCACGTGCCCAGGCTCCAGCTTGGATTTCCTCAGGGCTCAAGAACAGAGAGTGCTGGTGGGAGGGTGATTTTTTAATGTCATGTAATGAAAGGACTGCTGCTCCAGGCTGCTTTAAAAAAATAAATAAAAAGAGAGAAAAGTGGCTATAAAAACACATCTTTCACCCAAGATCCCTAAAAAAGCACCAGGATAATTAATGTGTGCCCAAGTGCCTTGCATGGCCAGCACCTATGTTTAGCTCCTGGGCCAGGGAGCAGCAGCAGCAACTTCACAGCACCACACAGGGAGAGCAGCAGGGAAGGTTCAGCCAAATGCATCCAAAACATTTCCACTGGAAATCAGCAGCAGCAGCATGAAAAATTAACTGGAAAAA